TCAAAAGCCCAACCCAAATTCTAAGCAAAACTTGCTGTGCTTGGTAGGTGCATTGCTGTCTAAGTTGGAGTTTGAGTGGTGTGTTTTACAGGAGGACAAGTGGAAGGATAATTTCTAAAATGACTGCAGCAAGATTCAGCAGAGTTCTACCAGAGACTTCTCAATTCCCCAGAGACTCCTTGTGACTACATAAGTCAAAACCAACACCTTAAACCTGAACCAGAAATCAATTGGTAGCTAGTTAGGTCAGGAAGCACAAAGATAATAGTCTGTCATTGAGAAATAACCACTTCTGCACAAACTGTAGTTCTTTTATTTTGCAACTATGTGATACAGCCTAAACCAAAAATAACAACCGTGTGAACAAAAGTGAGGTCTGTCTGGAGTTAAAATAAAAGTTAGCAGCAAGTGATAAAAGGAATGCATTGCACAGTTGCTGTGACTGAGAAATATTTGCTATGCTAATGACAAGAGAAGCAGTGATTTTTAAGTTAATTAGATTCAGCTTTTATTTGAATACCATTTGGTATACAGAGCAGGTTACCTAAAGGTGCAATTCTAAATCTCAGTAGAGAGGTTTTCATGGAGAGCAGGTAACCTTATGGAAATTACAACACGTAATTCATCATAGTTAATGTGGGTTTGGACTAACTGACTGGAAAGGTCTCACTCATCTGCAATTTGATAACAGGTTCCCATTGTCAGTAAAAAAAATTATTCAAAAAGGGGCGGTTATCATATGCTTATTACCTCTTTTCCACCTATAAATCAGACTTTTAGTTAAATGTCTAACGTAATTTACAAGCATCTTGAAAATACATTTTTAAAGTGCACAGAGTTCTTGATTATCCATAGTAGTCTTAATATATTAAACTAAAATTTTTGAAATAATTTGTAGTGTATGTGTAGTACATCAACATCCGTTCTAGAATTAAATTTCTTTTGTTATGTGTTCTTTATCTTATTTCTGATTTACTATAACTTGAACCTCAGAATTTAAGCAGCTTTAACTACATTATAGACATTTGGCTTCTAAGGTAACTGAGGCAACTGGTTAGACTTGTATTTAAACAAGCTTCTCCTATGCTGTAGTGCTGTTCTGCTTGTAATTGTAATATTAAAAAGTCATTGGTTTTGGTGTTAATTTGTTATGATATATCTGTGAGATCCTTGTTGAGACTTTGATTACATGATCTTGTGTTACTTTTCCATCCTGCTTTCTGTATGGAGTGCATCATGCTTAAGGGAGGAATGTTTGCTTAATGTTATCCTTTGTCCCATGTTGTTTCAGTAGAAGGCTTCATGTTTTGTTTATTGTATTATGTCCCGCTTGGAAAACAAAGGGATTCTCCTCGCCCATGGAATTTTGTGTGGTGCTCAAGTATTTTTGTAGCTGTAGGAGATGAGGAGGTGATATTTTCCCACCTTACAGATAAGGAACTGAGGCAAGGAAAAAGTGTCGACATAGACATGTACATAGATGTACCTGATTTGTCAGAATATCTAGCATTTTCTATCTTGAAATTAAGCAATTGACTTCAATTTCATTGTAAGCACAAGTGGAGCAGTAGAGATCAGATGGGTCTATGTGCTGCTCTTAAAGATATATGAAGGTGTATCACTCCAAAGCTGTTACTGCCCTTTTTTGTCTTTTACTTACTGTTGACCTGTTGAAGGGTTAGTGATAAATAGCAGAAAGAAGGGATGAGAGAAGCCTTCGCTGTGAATAACGTGTGTTTATTCTACAAGTAAATGAATACCTCAGTTGATGATACTTGGAGAAATGTGTTAACAGACTCCCTGTCCTCAATTTTAAAAAATATTTATCTAGCATCTCATAGTACCTCTGCGATACAGATAGGAGGGTGATCCAGTATAATGCCTAAAACCTACTTGTTTCCCTGAATTTGTGACCTAATCCTTTCTTCTACTTTTTTTAACTATCTCACGCCTCAAACACTGTGGATGTTACAGGTGATGCAATAAATAAGGCAGGAGCAGGTCAGGCTGTGTTATCCTTCAGTGCATAATCCTGATCGATCCATTCATCCATGATTTGAATGAGGCATAGATTTTTTTAAGACAAAATGTGACACATAATGTTATCATACTATAAGGCATATGCGCAAAGAGGCCAAGCTGAAGATTATAGGCAACTTTCTGTGTCACTTTCTAAATTGAAAGCTAGATTATTTTTAACCTTAATGCTCTTTTTTTAACACTGAGGCTTCTTTTATGTATGTAATAGCTTTTGCTTTTTTAAAAAAGTAAACTGCAACAGAATTTGGGGATCTTGGTTTTGTGTGTGTCTCAGTGTAGCTCTGCTTGTAGATGAGACTCAGAACCATTGAATAGCTCTGTCAAGGGTTTGTACCTTGCACTGCCTCCATTTTCCTGGGGCAGAATAGTAGTGATTCTCTCTGCTTCCTCTTATGTCCACGTCAGTGCATTTAGCTTGGCATGCTGTTAGGATGCTTAAACGCATGTCCTGTTTTGTGAATGTGCAGATAATCAAATGTGGGTAGAAAACCAAAACTGCTGAAGTATTTGAAAAATTTATAGACATTTAGCGATACTCTTCAAAACAATTTTTCGTGTCCAGGGATCTCCTGAAACTATTGCAGTTCATGTGTTTGCTAGCCTGCACTGAATCTGAGTTTCTGTTCAGTCTCTTCTGGAGTTCATGTAAAATTCTTGCATCCACTGGTCCTATTGTGAGGAATTTGACACATCTGCTAACTGTCGCAATGAAAAATATTTTTATAGTTTATTCTTTTAAACCAGATTCTGTCTAGCTTTGTCGCGCAAGTCCCTACTCCCTGAATTTAGGCTTATCACAAGTTCTTTCCATGTTTTCTGTCTTCCTGCCCAAGATTTTTTTTCTTTATTTTTTCTTTATTTTTTCCCCAATTCCCTTTGCAGCTTGTCATCTGATGTGTCTCTTCCAACCTCTTGCATTCCCACCTTTTTGCTCAGTGATTGCATCACAGTTTGAATTTCGGTGTCCAGTAAGTCCTAAATTCTCCTGAATCCCTCTTCATGCTTCCCAGTGCTTATTTTGGTGTGAGGGATCCCAGGTCTGACTCGTCATCCCTCTGCATTGGGTTCAGGCAGCTCCTTCCCCTATGGTGAACAGAGCACAGGCTTCAGTCTATTTTCTGGTATATGGATTTAATTCTTGCGTGAATGTTCACCGTATGTAGACTCTCTGGGAAAATGGGTTGCAAGACCTCTTGCTGATTTAGTTGAGTATGTGTGAAATCCCTTTGATGCTGTAATGAATCAGACTGGGGCCTGCTTGGAAGGAGGGAAGAAATTATCCCTTTTCCTGGGAGAAGACTACTGGCCATGGCCAAGGAGTGTATCTCTGGAGAACTCAGTGTTGGCAGCCAAGTGTCCAGCTTGCAAATGGAGAGAGATTGGGACTACAGGTTAAGGAAGGGCAGCAGTGAGCCAGGACTCAGAGGAGGACCAAAGGCTGCCTAGGAGCTAGAAGGGACCATGCTGTGCTGCCTGCACCACAGAGTCACTAGGTCACCTGAAATATGCTTGGAAGTAAGGATTTGCCATTAAGGATACAGTGTGAAGCGGGAGCTTTATTTTATAAAGCCTTTATTTGTTCTCTCTCACCTAGTTGTGAGTTGTTGGGATTTTTTGTTCCCCCTAGCATTAATTGTCCTACGTGGTAATCTAATTAAATAAGTAAATCATGTTGGTTTTGGTGTGTTTTTTTTTTTTTTAAAGAAATTCTGAAATTAGTTGGGTGGGTTTTGTTTTTTTTTTTTTTCTCCTTTTTGAGTAGCTCCAGACACGTGCATATTTTAACTGTCATTTTTGTGGATGCAGAAATACTGTAGATGGATTTTCATGGGGTGGCAAAATGTATATGCCTGGCACAAGGGTATTCCAAATTCGATACTTTTGCACCCAAAACCTGGAGCTGTAAAAAATTTCTGAAAAACAAGCTTTCCAGAATTTTGTTACCCATGAGCTAAGCCATTTTGGCTGTTAGCGAAGAGAAATTAGGAAAAAAAGTGATCTGAGGCAGATAGTTGGCTTGGAAAATTGCATTCAGAAGCTCTGAAATTTCACAAGATTCTAAGAGCAGAAAGCAGCAATCTCTTAAAGCAAAGATCCCTAGTCCACAATGCAAGTGCCAAGAGCAGCATACAAGTAAATTTGAATAATATGCATTTTGCATAATGTGATGTAGGTCTGAGCCGCAGCCTTTTGCGGAAAGCATGTGTGAGATGTACTTGTTCCCAGCTCCTGGCTTTCTCCTGGTTCTGTGCCAGGACACAGGCAAGACACTACCATTAGGTGGTCAGTGGTGTCTGCTTACTCTGAGTTTCCACAAGCACCTTCGACTCCTAATTTGAGAAACAAAAGTAGGCTGGTGCTCCACTTCTTACAGACTGCCCTTAAAAAGGGAAGTGTCAGGCAGCTTTGATAAGGGGTTTGCTCCTGTCTTTGCATATTGCTCCTTTTTGTGTTCTAAGTCTCAAAGCAAGTTTTTAATTTAGCTCTGTCTTTAATAGCTTTAGCTACTCTAAAATAGATGCAGAGACTGCTTCTAAATGGAATCTGTTGTTCATGTAAAAAGCCGTATTGAAAGTAGTGAATATAATGAAAAATACAGCCCAGCTTTGTACTATAAAGACTTTGACCAAAGAAGGGAAATAAAACTGATTTAATTTACTGTGTGTTGGCTGTCATCACTATATTAAAGGTTCTACCAGTATTTATGAAAAGTTGCTGTCTCGGTAATTTAATCAACAACCTAAGCCCATGTATGGGTACAAAGCTCAATATTACTTGTCTTGAAAAGAGCAAGTTCTGGTTTTGAAGCTATTTAAAATGCTATTTTAACAGCAGCAGTTAGAAACAGGAATGCTAAAATTAACAGTTTAGTCATGCTAATTGATTGTACTGTGCAGGTAGGTTGTGAATTCTTAATTACATGTTTTTTTAATAAACTATCTGCTATTGGTTTTGTGTAGATCATCCTTTGCAGGCTGGAAGTGCCAAGTGCAGGATAATTCAGTGAATGATGTGGACTATTTCAGCTTCTTGTTTTCAACCCTTATAGGTAATCCATGTGAATGTCATAATTCAGAATTAACAAAATGAAATTTGTTTTGATAGTCAATTACTGGATTTAATTTAGAATAAATGGTGTAGTAAGTACTTCCTGAAGGTAATTCTAATCTTGTTACATATTTTTGATATGAGATGCCCTTTTTTCTCTTGGTCTCATTATGAATGCCCTATTTTTACACTTTGCCATTTGGGCTGAATATTTGCGTACTTTTTCTTCATTCTAGCAGCTTTCTTTGGAAAGTATGAGGAAAACCTAAATTCAGCATATGACATGAACAAGAATTTTTTTTCTAGATTTAAGTGCCTTTTATTGGCTCGTAACAATTTAAATGAGCACCTCTGGGATTTCCTGTGGACATGCTTACGCTATTAAAAACATTCCATCAGAATAAAGTAATCAAAGTACATTGAAGTGAGCTGCCCAAGGTCAGCAAGTGAGCAGAATTACTGCTGCCACTATGTTCTTACTCAGATATAAAAATAGTTGTATTCTGTGGTGACGCAACTTTGGGAAATTACAGTGGTTGAAATGGCCTCATATTACTGAGAAATATCTTCCACTAACTTGTCCCATGGTAAAGTGTCTTTGCTTCATCACCTCAGCCATTCATGATGTTCAACTGCTTTGCTCTCAGAAATTAGGTTTTCTTTTTTTTTTTCCTGAAACAGCAAAGAGAGTGCTGAGATAGTTAACTGAGGAAACAAAAGCAAAACCAAAGTGACTGTTTTGGAGCAGTAGTCCTGTTTTAGTAAAACACCTAATATCTGGCTTAGAAATAAGTAGCCAAATGATTGATTGATTGATTGATTGATTTTAACCCTGAGGTTACTTTAGAAGGTTACTGAGTTATTGTGGACGCATGATGAACTGTCTTGCATTATACCTGGAGGTTTTTATTATTTTTAAAAGGTGCCTATGTTGAAAATAGCAGCATAACACTGGCCTCTTACATGTTGTTTTGTTTTGTTTTTTAAATACTGCATTATAGTTTAAATGGGTATGCCACTGATTTTTCAAATAGTTTTGTTTCCTTTCAGAAGCCAGAATTTGTATTTTGATATACTTAAAATACCAAGGAAGAGCTTTTAACAAAAAAATGTTATGTAGACATAATTTAAAAGACAGTTTTTGTCAGTGACGCTGTTGAAGTAGAGCAGTGCTTGGCTTGTTTTGTGATACTGTTGTACTGCTTCTTTTTCTCTAGGGTTTTCAAGAGAGGAGTTGACTAGTCTCCAGGGCATTAGAGGAAAACCACACATTAGCCAGACACAGCTTTCACCTGTCCGTCTTTACCTAACTGATCTGGACCAGTTTTTACACCACTGGGCTGTGACAGAGGTAATACATCAACACTAATTCTAAATGACAGCATACAAACTCTGAGTGCTCTCCATCCCTCTTCCACAGATGCCTAAGTCTTGTTGTGAGTTGAGTTGAAAAAAGAATGAAAATTATAATAGCTGTCAAACAGCTAACATTTTTTCTACAGCCATCAGAAAACATTTTGAAGGAAGCTGCTGTAAAAGGTGAATGTTCAGACACGTAGTATGCAAAACAATACTCATGGAAAAAATGGGTAGTAGCCTTGGTGGAAAATTCTTGAACATTAATAAGATTAAGACCAGCAATATGTTTTGGCTTTCAAAAATAAATTAATTGTAAAAATATTAATTATACTATTTGAGAGTAAATTCCACTGTTAATTAAAAAGCACTTGCATTAAATAAGATTTTAACTTGGAAGTAATATTAAGTTGGCATTGGTGATTATTTAGAGTAACTTCTGATGCTTATTTAATCAAAATTTACTGGGATTAGAAACTTCACTGTGAATTCAGTTCCTGCATGTAAGATCATAAGAGCTGAAAGCTTAATTTTATTGTTGGTTCTAAAAGGATCGGAGCTGCCAGATTTTATTCAGAACAGGTGCATTAGTCTTCATTCTGGCTCAACTCTTTTTATTGCTTAGCTCACCCGAAACCACTTTAAGGTGTGAAATCACGTTTTAATGACATGCCAATTTGACAGTATTTATGAGATCCCTGTCATGAATACAGAGAGAAGAGTAACAGAAGTTTATAGCTGTATGGTTTATTCTGGGTTTTCATGGCTGTCTTTTTGGTTCAAGAAAGCAGTAGAGTAGATTTTTCTCTAATAATTCATAAAGTTTAAGTGATAATCTACTGAAACTAATGATACTCCGAGGCATATATTGAATGTGGGCTATTATGTATTGGAAAGTATTTTAAGCAAAGTTGTTGTTTGGTATGACTGACTCACGTCTTTAGATGTCTTCAGTCAGTTGACTTATGGAGCAGCTAAACTTTCTAATTTGTTTCGCTTTGTCTCTTCCAGGCAGTAATGAATCGTTTTCTCACCAAAACTCCTTTTTCCAATATCGAGAGACTAGAATGCTTTCTCTCCCTGTCCTATACAGAACTGTTCCTCTGTGAAAGCACCCGCAGGGTTGCTTGTTTCTTAAAGAGTTAGCATAATCACATACAGCATCTGAAGGATTTATATACTCTGTTTCTGAAAATGCCACCTCTTGTCTTTTCCTTCCTCTTTTTGCTTCTCTTTCACAAATCTATCAAAGTTGATTGAGAAACTGCACAATATGACTATTTTCACTGAGGGACAGTGAAATAGCTTGATTGTAGATAGCTTATTTGTGCCTTTGGTTCCTGGTTGCAAGCTTGATTTACTTCTACCACAATCTTTTTAGTGTTTTGGTGCCATCAAGGAGAGTCAGTGTTTTCAGAAACTTGGGACTTGCTTTTGTTCAAGTAGCTTTTCCAGGGAAAGATACAAGGTGCTCTGTCAGGTTCTCAGGATTGGGTGGCAGTCATTAAGACAAGAGCTGGATATCCTTGGTTAGTAATGAAAGAGGATTTAGACATTCTGTGGAGTGTTGCACTACTGCAGTCATGTATCAGGTTTCTGGAGACTTAAGTTATGAAAGAGAGAATAGGAACAAAAGTCCCACGCATCAAAAATCTGTATGAAGAGTGGTGAGACCTTCTAGACCCACCTCATTTTGTAGACTTTTAACCAAAGGGAATTCTGGAATGCTGCTTACAACTCAGAGCTTGAGAAGAAGATTGGAGGCTTTGCCTCGTAAGCGTGTTCATGATTGTAGAAAGTTTTCTAGTGAATTGGGTTATATTCAATACATCTGTGATGTGATTGGGAAGTCAGTAAGGGTTTATGAAGGGCAAATTGTGCTCAACCAACCTGGTAGCCTTCTGTAACAAGGTGACTAGCTTGGTGGGTGTAGTGGTTTGAGCCAAGTTAACAGCCAACCACCACAGATGGTCATGAGCAAAAGGCAGACTCGTTAGGGGAAGAACAAAAACCATACATTTATTACAGACACTAACAACATGTAACAAAGTAGGCCAGTGAGAAGCATTGCCACATCTTGAGAACACCTTCCCCCCACCCCTCCCTTCTTCCCGGGCTCAGCGCTGCTCCCGATATCTCTACCTCCTCCCCCAGGGGCGCAGGGGCAGGGAATGGGGGGTGCAGTCAGTGCTGCCGCTGCTTCCATCTTCAGTGGGGGGAGCTGCTGGAACTTGTCCCCCCTGCTCCATCGTGGTCCCCCTCTCCCAGCAGACAGTCCTCCACAGGAGTGTCTTTCTCTCACGGGCTGCAGCCCCAACTGAGCTGCTCCGGCATGGGACACCCCCCCATGCTGCAATCCTCCCAGTGCTGAATTACAGCAGCAGGGCTACCTTTTCCCACAAGACCTCGGCCTTCTTTGGCACAGCACCTTGATCAGCTGGGCGAAAAACACAGGCCATAAATCAGTGTCTGCTCCACCGTAGATCTCCATGGGTGGCAGTGGGGGCCGCCCTGCCATCTCCCCACAGGATACAGGGGGGTCTCTGCTCCGGCACACCTCCCCCCTCCTTTCTTCCTCCATTCCTCCACTGACCTTGGTGTTCACGCAGCTGCAGCAACTCCTCCTCACAAGTCCCACTGCTCCTCACCACGTCCCTTCTTAAATATGTTATCGCAGAGGCGCAGCTGATTGGCTCGGTTTCCAAACAGAGGTGGAGCTGACTTGGAGCTGGGGGAGCTTCGAGAAGCTTCTCACAGGGGGCCGCCCCGATAGCCCCCTCCCCTGCTACCAAACAAAAAACCCCACCACTCACTCAACCCAGGACAGTGGGTGAGGCGAGAGCAATTTATTTTGACTCGAGTAAGGTTTTTGATGCTGTATCCCATAACATCCTTGTGGACATGCTGGCAAAGAATGGCTTAGATAAATAGACAGAGGTGTAATGAAAACTGCCTGAACGGCCAGACCAGAGGTTTGTGATCAGCTGGAGGCAAGTCACTAGTGGTGTACCCCAGGGATCGGTACTGGGGCCAGTACTTTCTAACCTTCGTTAATGACCTGGACAGTAAGACTGAGTGCAACCTCTGCAGGTGGTAAAAAACTGGGAGGATTTGGTGATAGAAGATGGTTGTGGTGCCATTGAGAAGGATATGGACTGGCTGGAGAACTGGGCAGAGAAGAACTTCATGAAGTTCAGTAAAGGAAAATGCAGATTCCTGCACCTGGGGAGGAATAACCTCAGGCACCAGTAAATGCTGGAGACTGTCTGTCGGGAAAGCAGCTCTGCAGCGAATGGCCTTGAGGCTCTGGTGGACAGCAAGCTGACCATGAGTGAGCAGTGCACCCTTGTGGCAACAAAAGCCCAACAGCATTCTAGGCTGTGTGACGAGGAGTGTTGCCAGCAGGTCAAGAGAGGTGATCCTTCTGGTGAGGTCTGGTGACTGGTGAGGTCACATCTGAAGTACCGCGTCCAGTTGTGGGTTCCCTGGTACGAGAGACAGGGATGTACTGGAGTATCTTTCACATGAGATGATGCTGATAGACCTGGGACTGTTCAGCCTGGACAAAGAAGGCTTGAGGGGGGATCTTACTGATGTGTGTAGATACCTGATGAGAAGGAACAAAGAGGATGGAGCCAGACTCTTCTCAGTAGCGCTCGGTGGCAGGAGAAGAGGGCACAAATTAAAACACACGAAGTTCCGTCTAAACACAGGAGAACTTTTTCACAGAGTGTGGTCAAACACTGAAATAAGTAGCCTAGAGATACTGTGGTTCCCATCTATGGATGTACTCAAAACCAGGCTGGACACAGTGCTGGAGAACCTGCTCTAGCTGGTCCGGCGTAAGCAGGAGCATTGGGCTGAAGGAACTCGAGGGGGTCCCTTCCAACTTCAATGCTTCTGTGAAAATTTATCCTCTTGAAAAAACAGAACTTTTGTTTCACTGTCGACATATGTCTTCATAATTATTTTTGCTTGTAGAGCATAGTGACATTCCCAGTATGGGGAGATTTTTATTTGGTAGTTTGTCACACTTTGGTATGATCTGGAAGTTAAACTGTTCCCATTAAATGCTTGCCAGAAGGACTGGTGGTGTTGCAGTGCTGCTCAGGGTGTTCTCCCTAGAACTGGTATTATGTTTCCATGGAATTTGTGAACAGAAAAGTAGGGGCACCTCTTCAGGAGCTTTCTTTCCTACCAGAGAAAAATTAAGATATTCTTTCCTCTTGCCTCTGATCCGGTAATAATGGTCTCTGGGATACACTGTTTGTGTTCCACATCTTTGTTTTTGCAAAGAGAAGAGATCGGTATTAAGGCAACCACTTCCTTTTATGAATCACAGGATTTGATTAATTTTTCACTTGGCTGGTTTTGATTTCAGATGCAATTGTAGATACGGTGATATATAAACAAAACTATGCTGAAGGTACCACTTTTGGAAAAATAAGATGTTAGGCTTTTAGATGTCTCTTTTCTGTGTTTAAGTATCTAATACAGTGCTGTGTTCATTAGGTTTTAGGGGGTTTCTCTTTTACTTGTTGAGTACCATTCTCCAACCTCAAACATGTTAACCCATATTCTATTCCATGTTCAATTTGTAAAGAAAACATTCTGGGGACTGTAGTCCATACAAAGAAAAAAATCCTGTCTTTGGAAAAACCTTTCAGTTCAAGATTTGCTGAAAGTTACACAGGAATACTTTTTGTAGAGCGAGTAGTTTCCACCAGGTATTGAACAAGCTACTCTCCTCTCAAAAGAAAACAAACCAAACAGTGACAAAAGCCCCCAAACCCCAGAGCTGCAGCTTCTGGGGAGAACTGCCACCAAATCATGAGGCTCTTATAGGATGCCTTGAAAGACTGTGATATGATGGCTCGATGTGCACTGAGTTTGAGGGAGGGAGGTTTGGAGACTGCTTTCTTCCAAGCGAACGTAGTTCAAGCTGTGACACAGTTTCAGAATCAAAATCAGACACAGTTCAAGGTGTGACACAAT